TGCCTATAACCTTCTGGTTGAGATAGGAAATGCATTTGTGCGTTTCTGTGGCAACCCAAAAGGTAATGAAATAAATATTCTGTAAAAGCAGTCATTTTGTGATAGAAGATTTAGTAGTAACAGTTCTTGTGCTTTTACTTCAGATGCCATGGACCAGTACTTGGTGTTAGTCTATGCTGGCCTCACTGGCTCAGTCACTATGATCACTTGTACAGTTTTAGCATTGACCCGACTGGTCTTTGAGTACAAAGGTAATAAGAAAATCTACAATAACTACATTTCAATAGGTTTGATTTTGTAACTGAATTGACTTGATTTTTAAAATCTTAAATATATTTGTATATTTGTTTATATGTTCAGATGCCATTGAAGTTTGTACTATGGAGGGGCTCCTGCACAACATCTGTCTGCTGCTGACTTCTCGAACAAGAGAGATTGTTAAAGCTGCTCTTGGTTTCATAAAAGTTATTCTCTTCGTCATGGATCCCAAAACATTAGCTTCCCACGTCACTGTCATGGTACGCACCATTCTGTTTTTTGCAAAGTTTACTTTTCTGTGATATAGCTAAACATGTGTGCATTACATGGTTAGATGGAGGGCATTGGGAACATTAAAGATGATGTAAGGAGGCACTTTAGGACCAAACTAAAGAACATTTTTACCAGATTCATTAGAAAGTTTGGGTGAGTGATTGTGTCTTTTTTGTATTATCTTTTTGAAGAGTACTCTTGACAGTGGCGTTCAAGATTTGTTTTTTTCTGCTGTTTTTAGGTTTGATTTAGTAAAGAGCATGCTGCCTACAGAGCACCACAAAGTTCTTGCTAATATCCGAAAAGCCGAAGCTCGCAATAAACGTAAAAAGCAGGCTGCAGAACAGCAGGACGACTCTGATGAAGAAGAAGAAACGACTAAAAACAAGGGTGAAAGGTACAGGGCTGCATTTTTTTCAGTAATCAGAATGTTGTTTAATGGAAAACAAGGCAGAGATTACAATAATACTTTTTTTTTATTAGTATTGAAGACATCCTGGCAGAGTCTGACAGTGACATGTCCGAGGATGAAGCAAAACCTAAAAAAGCACAGAAAAAAACAGGCAAACCTAAAGCTAAAGCCTGGCTCAAAGAAGGGGAGGAAGATGATCCACTTAACTTCCTGGATCCAAAGGTTTCCCAGAGAGTCCTAGGTGAGTAAACCAACCAATGTCTCTTTAAAATCATTGTTGCACTGCTACTGTATTTGTCTCATACTTGTTTCCATTGTTGTAGCCACGAATCCAGAGCTGAAAAAGAGCACCAAGAAAGAACATGGCTTCAAGGTGACTTCAGATGGGCGCCTTATCATTAGAGAGGAAGAGGAGGACAATGTTAAAGAGAAAGGTGTGTTTATTTTTTTAGAGTGCATGTGATGATTTTATACTATTTTCATCAAGTCTCCTTCATACATGTTTCAGATGGAGAAATGGATGATATTCTTGAAGAGGCGGGAGTTAAAAGTGTAAGAAGCTCAAGCTGCTTGTTTGTGGGTTTGACCATTTTATCTTGTCATAATTGCTGTGTCTTGGTTTCAGAAAAAGGCACAGCAAAAAAGGTTTAAAGATGATGACTTTGACGAGGAAATGGACATTGAGCCAGATTTAAAATATAAAGGTAAATTAAAAATAACAAAACCAAGGCTCAAGTTTTTGCCTTTGAAAAGATTGATTTAAAACAAAGTTTTTATTTCCCAGCTGGAGGTTCTGGTATTCACAGACCATTATCTAAAGACACTGGTGCCGAGTACAAGTCAAAGGTAGAGTATAAAATTTTATAGTATCTATAAATTACAAAAAAAATTAATAAATAAAATACAAATTTACTTGCATCTTGCTTTTTACAGAAAGGTAAAGGAGACATAAAACAGAAAGGAAAGCTTGATCCCTATGCTTATATCCCACTCAAAAAGGCTCAGCTCAATCGCAGGTATTACAGCTAATTTGGTATATCAAAACAATATTTTTTAAATTTAAGTCAATTATGTGGACAAATACATGTTATATTTTTATTTTAGGAAACGTGCTAAACTTCAAGGCCAATTTAAGGGTATGGTGCGAGGAGCCCAGAAGGGGGCACTATCCGGAAAGAAAATGCAGAAGAAAAAGCGGAAAGCCTGAGGAGTATGACGTGAACAGAATCTGGGTTTGCCCTGTTCTGAAAAGACTATTATTTCATTGTATTTGGTGTGAAACCAAATAACTGAAGATGTGCCTGGGATATTCAGTGACAGAAGAAACACCGTATTTCGTGGTGAAAACTTATCCAAGAAATGTCCTAATATTATTAACTGAAAATAATTGATGGTAACTATTTTACCTAAGATTATGCTAGTTCTGGCCGAAAAAAGTGTATTGATTAATAGTTACATGAACACATTAAATTAAATTTCCTTATTGATACCTCAGCCCTCTGGATCTTTATTAAGTGTTGGGATGTTATGAAGTAATGCAATGTACATATATATTACACAAGATTTATATATTTCAAAATGTACAAAATGAGTCGATCTTTATTTAGACCATTATACTGAAATTTAGAGGCTCCAAAAAAAAAGCATGTTCACTGTAAAGCATTAGAGACCTTTTATTAAAAAAAAAAGCTGTTAGTACAGAAACGATGCAAAGGACCATTTCAGTCTAAAAATGAAAACAGGAAACACAACATTAATACCACAGAGATACAATCATGGTGCAGTCTTTCACTTTACTGTGTTAGTAAGTTATACATTTGATGCAGTGTTGCCTTACATGCCAGACTATCACAATTCACAAGTAATGAAAATGAAAATCCACTGATGGTAGAGGACTTGTTTTCAAACTTGGAAATAAATAAATTGTGGAGATAACTGCCCTGCAGTTGCAATTAGAGGAAAGATGCAGTTGTATAAAACATTAATTTGATACAAAAAGTTGATTATTGGTTGAAAATATGCCATTAGATCCAAGCAACAAAACCCTTGGTGGCTTAGCCACCACAGACTCAGGTAAAGATGAGTGCCTTAAATTTTCAATTAAAACTTAACAAAAACTGAGCATTCACATCCCATAACGGCTTAACCACAAAAACATGCCAAGTTACAAAAAAAGCGCATGACATTTGCCAGGAAATAAGTCCTCAAGTGACTAAAGTGAATTCATTATGCCTCCAAAGAAGATACTACTCCACCTAAAAACTGCCAAGGGATAGATATTTGCTGTCCAGCAACAAAGCAAGGAGCACATTCAAACGTTTGAGGCTCCACGTCTGATCAGAGTCGAGGTGGGGGCCGGGATGGTGGTGGTCCTGGGGGTCCCGGAGGAACTCGTGCTGGAGGTGGGCCTGGAGGGGCTCTGGATACAGGAGGGGGCACACGGGATGGGGGGGTGGAGCGAGCTGGGACTGTGGTGTGAGAGGGGGGAGTGGTGCGAGGACCTCTGGATGGAGGCTTTGTACGAGGCACTGAGTTGGAGACCAAAGGCCGCTCTTCTGTGGAAGGAGCTGGCGAAGTGAGAGAGTGAGGAGAAGGACTGGAGGGCATCCGGTGGTTCAAACTGGGGTCTGGGTGTTTCACACGCTGAAAACTTATGCAGCGACCCTGTCAAAAACATTAAGAATGAAGATATTAACCAGGGATGCCTCAGCAGAGATCAGCAGTTTGGAATTATACAAACCAAAATCATAGTCTATTCAATGTTTAAAGGTCCATTACACAAAATTGATTAGAATGTTATTCCCATCTACCTTGTGATGTCCTTAAGTGGTAGTTTCCAAGTTAACAGCTACCTTTTACCTTCAGTTCAGTAGATTGGCAATTCCAAGACTAAAATCACCCAAATGATTCTGTTGAAGGTATATAAAATTTTAAAACACAGTGGAGCACTCCATGTATTACCACATGATATCACATGGTGTAACAGAGTGAAATTTATAGGGTATGTGTGTTAAACATGTATAAATGAAAGTAAAATGCAACTCCAGGTATGTTTGTGATGAAGAAGCAACATTTCAAAAATAGTGTAATATGGGCCCTTTAAAACAGAAAAAAACAGCCCTAGCATGTTTGTAATGAGTAAAGGCTATTTGCACTGATCCTCGTACAGTTGTATTCGTATCCAAATGCTCTGTGCAGCACCAATGAGTGCCTCAGATCCCTCAGCAAAAGTGTGTTGTGTGAAACATTGCCCACTGTGTCTGACAGAGGCAGTATGTGTTTCATCCTCTTTATACAAACAGAGCAGGCTCTATCTGCCTCCACACCTGCACTACAATCACTGTGATCGGAGCAAAGGCCTCCTCTGACTTCAAGAGGGTGTTTCTGTAGTCCTAACACATGTATGGCCTTTTTCCATCTCAGAACAGAAAGTGGTTTATGTCTTGTGTGGCTTCTAGGAATGTTTTGCATGGGGACTTTTCAATGGGATTACAATGGTTAACACAGGGCCCCTTGACGTTTAGCATAATTTACAAGTGGGGAAGAATAGGAATCTTCTCTTATTGTTCTCATTGATGGCTATCCTCACCACAACATCACTGGCACAACACACTGGCTCTGAGAGAATGTGGGATGGAAGCTGGTATAGACCCCTGTGCTGGAGCCCTTGGTGGTCTGATTATAACACCTTATTAAACAGAGAGGCCCTAAAGTCACCTCAGGGTCATTAAGGAGGGCCTCCGCAGCAGTTAGCTTTGTGACTGAGGGTCTATTGTTAGCGAGGGTATATGAGAGTGGTGTAATTGATTAGGGGTATGCACAGTTGGAGGGGCCGCCTGTTTCGATCTTGAAGTAAAAGAGCCAGTTTGTGAGCAGCAGAACAACACCAGAGACAGCATATGGACACAATGAGAAGACAAGCTCATGAATACTGGGAGTGTTTGTGTGAGATGACTGTAAGCATGCCTCCACCAGAACATATGGCCTGAATGAAGCTACGTGAATGACAGGAATGAGGAAAAAAGAAGGTATGGGGGAGGCTGCAATGCAAAACACAAATTTAAACCAGAGAAATTTTTAATTGTGATTCACCTGATGAATCAAAACTGTCCTACTGTTAAAGATAGGGTGACCAGATATCCCTATTTACCCGGGACAGTCCCAGTTTTGAGCCTGATGTCTCCTGAACCAGCAGATTTATTCAAAACCACTGAATTGTCCCAGTTTTATACAAGAAATGTCCCAGGTGTCCCAATTTTTGACAAATTTGATGCCTGCCAACAGAACAGTAAAAAGAGGCATAAACTGGCATTTATTTAAGTAAAATGCAGAGAAGGATATCTAAAAATGACCAAATCACAAAGAAAATGTGATTATACTGACTCATATGTTAAAAATGAAATGGCTGAGTGCCTAACAATTTTCCTTAATTACACACTCGTCTCTCAATTTTATTATTGCTAACCTCCAAAAACCGAGAGTGTCCCAGTTTTTTATTTTGATAATCTGGTCACCCTTTTTAAATCTTATGTATGTATATGTAAAACATAACATTTTTACTTTTCTCAAATATTATTCAAGACCAGTTTAAATGTTTCATGTCTAAACATAATGGTTTTATAGTATTTAATTATTATTCTGAAGCACATTAAAAGTGTATCTGATTATTTTAAATATATACAGCCATACATTACTTTTTAGACATCAGTTAGCCCATGTGTCATTTTAATGTAAATCAGATTATTTTTCCCCTGACTTCACTTTTTGGCAGTGGTTTACTACGAGCTCTGGATTCTTTTGAGAGAAAAACAGAACCTTAAAAACCCCCAAGCTACACTCCTTTGACCACACACTCTAATTTGTTGTCTTTGCCTTAAGACTTCACCCTTCTCAAGCAAAAATAAAAACACATCTAAAGTTACAATGTATGCACACCTTTTCAACAGAGTTTCATATAAGAGCAAGACGGTTAAATGGCCACATTGGATATGACAGCACAGCATATTATCTTTCATGACATTACAGTAATCCACATGAGAATAACACAGCCGAGGCAACAGTTAAACTCCCTGGATACAAGACAACAACATGCAGAGACTCAGGCAGAGGTCACCTTGGTCATGCTGTGATTATCTCAGCAGAAAATATACAAACTGACAGACATTATAAAAATAGCCAAAGCGTTTATGTCTTGAGAGGCAAAAATGGACACAAAACACAATTTGAGGAAATAAAAAAATACATTATATACTCTTCTGAGAGAAAATATTTGACATAATGTAAAATCTAGTTAAGCTGTGTAAATGAGAATTATTTACTTATCTATTTTGCTTGAAATGTAAATATAGTGTTATAATAACTAGTATGAAAGCTGCTGTCAATTGTAAGTACGTGGAAATGAAATTATGGTGCATTTTGAGGGTGTTAGTGGTAGTTATGAGATTTGTGCAGACAGACTAATTACACAGATGAGGAGCAGCTCTAGTCTATAGTGGTTTTGAGAAGCGTCTCCCTCTCTGTGCTAGTATCACTGCTGAGAGACAAAAGAAGGGAATCTCTTGTGTCACAGTTTGGCTCGTGGCTTTTACATGGCCCATCTGTTTGTGCAGAGCTGACAGACACAGTCAGAGTGACACATAGTAGCACAGTAAGTGAATGTAATGTAAGACACAGGGACAGAGGGAGTAGCAGTAACTGGCAGCACAATGATGACACGTCGTAGATCCAGAGGAGTGATGATAATAAAGGATGAATCGTCAGCTGATGTTTAACAACTCCATGTGACTTACAGATGTGCTTTTTGAGTCACGATTATTAAATGCTCAAAACATATTTGGGACACTATGTAAAATGCAAACTTAACATGCTATGGTTTGCAAATCCTAATGCATATATATAGTATTGTTTGATTGTTCATGATATGTATAGTATATAGCTTACAGTAGCCTATATTTTACAGAAATGTGCATATTTTATACTAGTGATTGGTCCAGACTTCTGCCACATGCCTGGATTTGAATATAGCCTTCGGGAAAAAATAAGCGCCCATCCCTACTTTACAAACAAACATATTTTAATTTGGAAAAAAAAAATAATAATAAAATATCACCAATATTTAGCTGATTAAAAACAATAGTGTCCCTTGAGTGTAGGTCCTAAGGCTAAATTGAGAATTTTTAGTTGTGTGAGATCCCAGCATTTATCCAAATATGGGGCGTATCCTAAAAGAATATGCTAACATACTACCATAACGGCAACATGCTTGGAAGCAGACTGTCTGCAAGAAAAAGCCAAAAGTTTATGTTTGTTAAATCTGTTTTGAATGTGGGTGTTTGAGATGCTTGATGTTTAAACAATCCAACAATTCAGTAATTGTGTGTAGTTATTACAATTTAGAGGCTTGTATGTCTTTTGTGGTGTATTTGACCTCCTGACATCTCTTTGCAAGTTTTTTTCTCCTTGTATCTTTTCATGTGTGCAATGGCATTTTATTT